AAATTGCAAATTGATATATAGATTTGTAATATTGTGAGTAATACTGTATTTTAAATTTTTTACCCTCAGATATTGAAGAGGATGGCTCTGTGATGCTATTGCAAGCCATGCTGAAAGAGAAAATGACAATTGAAGAATCAGTAATTAAAATTTGCTCGGTATGGTTTTAATTTCATTTATAGTTTAATCTGATAAAGATTTGAGGAATAGTTGCACATCAAATAATGCTATATTAAAATGTTATGTACTCAAGTGATTCCATCTTTTGAGCAAATAAACAAAGAAATTTAAACCTAAACATTCCCTACTTTGTTCTATAGAATTTATTATGTATTAATGTCCTGATTTTCTATCTTTTTTTCATTTGCATAAGAAGATGAATCAATTGACAATGCGATTACAGATTCTGTTTCCCCTATGCTGATTGGTGCTGGAGATAATGGGTCAATAACACCCTTGTACTTGGCAGCCGAAGGGAAAAAATTACAAAGATTCCTAACACCAACCTCATTAATGGCTTGGTAATCCTCATTGCATCATATTATGCATTTAATATCAGCTACCCTGGAAAAAAGAGGAATTTCTTTGCCTTTGTTGAAGCCAAACTTCTGGGAAATAATGAGGATGCCAAAAGAAGGGTAAGCATCAACAAATTCCTAAAGGAAATGGAAAACATTTAATGAGACATTTAGACAATATATATAATATAGAGTATATTGCTAGCCACTCTTTGTCTAATGTTAAAAGAAATACCAGTATTGTTTTATGAACAATCCAATTATCCATTGTTAGATGGCCAGCAAGATAACAATTTAGACACATTACAAACATGTTAATTTATATACATGTATTCATTATTCTGACAGTTAGTTAATATCAGAATATATATATATATATATATATATATATATATATATATATATAATATATATATATATATATATATATATATATATGTATGTATGTATGTACGTATGTACGTATATATATGTATATATATATATATATGTATATATATATGTATATATATATATGTATATATATATGTATATATATATATGTATATATATGTATATATATATATATATGTATATATATATATGTATATATATATATATATATATATATTTATATATATATGTATATATATTTATATATATATGTATATATATATGTATATATATATGTATATATATATGTATATATATATGTATATATATATATATGTATATATATATATGTATATATATATATGTATATATATATATATATGTATATATATATATGTGTGTATATATATATATGTATATATATATATATGTATATATATATATGTATATATATGTATATATATATATTTATATATATATGTATATATATATGTATATATATATGTATATATATATATGTATTAATATATGTATATATATATATGTATATATATATATGTATATATATATATGTATATATATATATATATGTATATATATATATGTGTGTATATATATATATGTATATATATATATATGTATATATATATATGTATATATATGTATATTATATATATATATATGTATATATATATGTATATATATATGTATATATATATATGTATATATATATATATGTATATATATATGTATATATATATGTATATATATATGTATATATATATATGTATATATATATATGTATATATATATATATATATGTATATATATGTATATATATGTATATATATATATATGTATATATATATATATATGTATATATATATATATATATGTATATATATATATGTATATATATATATATGTATATATATATATATATATGTATATATATATATATAAACGCAGAAGGATAAACATCAGTACGTCTGAGGAACCTGGTGAGGATACTGAGATGCAGCAAGTTGAACAGCATTCAGGTCCTGAATCGTCAGACACTATTGATTCTGACTTTGAACCACCTTCACTTATGGTCCCACTGCGGTTTGAACAGCTCACCAGGGAGTGTGATGTTAAGTTTTATACAGGGATCCCTTCAACTGAAGCATTCCATTGCATATTTGAACATCTGTCTCCAAAAGCATTGCATATGCAATACTGGAGAGGTACGCAACAGACACAGAGGGAATCTAGACCAGTATCTCCATTTGAAGAATATGCTGCCTCAGTGGGTGTTGAAAGTAGACGTCGTCCACCAAGAAAGCTTAAATTGGAGGAAGAGTTTTTATTGACATTAATGAAACTTAGACTTGCTCTGATGAACCTGGATTTGGCATTTAGGTTTAAAATTTCAGATGGTTCTGTCAGCAGTATATTTATTACTTGGATAAAGTTGATGTCAAAAGAGCTGGCAGTACTGATTATTTGGCCTACCCGTGCTCAAATAAAGGAAAATCTCCCAAAGTGTTTCAAAGCACTTTATCCAAAGATGAGATGTATCATCGATTGCTTTGAGTGCTTTACCAACACACCTAGTTAGATTTAGCAGCAACTATGTGGAGTGAATATAAGCACCACTATACCTACAAGGTTTTAGTCGCTATCACTCCTAATGGTGCCATTTTGTATGTGTCCCCAGCATATGGTGGCAGAGCAACTGATGTTTTCATTGTTCGTGATTCTGGATTTCTCAACCTTGTTGAGCCTTTTGATGAGATTATGGCAGACAAGAGGGTTTAAGATCAGGGAAGAACTAATGATGCATATGGCTACATTATGTATCCCACCTAGCAAAGTCCATGCAGATGTTACCATCCGATGTTAGAAAAACATCTAATATTGCTAATGTCAGGATTTATGTGGAGCAGGTTATAGGTAGGATGAAAGTTTTTCATATTCTCAAAAATGAACTACCAATTTCACTGGTCCCACTTGCTGATGATATTGTTTGTGTTTGTGGTGCTTTATGCAACCTTCTGCCTCCATTGTGTGTGTGATACATTGACAAAATCATTTATGCTGTGATCAGCAGTAGATTTAATCATAACTACCTAAAATTAAATTGCCAAATTTTTTTTGTTTGGAACACTTTTATTATAATAATCACATTAGAACAACTACCCAAAAAGTAACATAATTATTTCAATAATATAAATATTTGATATTATTTACATCCATGTAAGGTAAGAATAAATATTGAAAGTTAAAAATGTCTATAATTATTATTTGTTCTTGTCTCCAATTAAATTATACCAAAATACCAATACCATTTGTGCAATATCCAACCGACTCAAAAGTTTCAACTTGAAGTTATTCACATGTGACACACTGTTTTCATAATTAGTTTAACCAACACATTTGCCATTGCAGTTGATGAACTTTAATGTCCTGTCATTCCAAAGACATTGATAATAAATTTTGAGGTATCTGTTCCATAAAAGCCAATGTCTGTATTCCATAAAAGCCAATGTCTGTATTCCATAAAAGCCAATGTTTATCATTGAGCATCACTTTCCTAACATCCAATGACCTTTTTATACTTTGGTAACTAACAGAGCAGACTGTCAATGATTTCTGTTAAGGTATTTCCCATTCATATCCCAACTCCATTTGTTAAGTTTTTCATAACAAAGATCAGTGAATATCCTTGTCATCTGCATAAAAGAAATAATGACATTTCTTGCTGAACTTTATCTTAAGCTCCATAACCAATTTTCCATTGCATCATCATAGAAGAGAACTACCATGTTCTTCTGCAAGCATCGTGGTTGAGCATGTGAACATTTCTCAAGTTGAAATATGATGACGGATTTCAATGCAACATTTTGTATTAGGTAAAATTTTAATTTAATAACTTTGCCAATGTAATAACAATAAATTGACACGGGAGCCGCAACAGCTAGTTGCCAATTACCGCGGACCGAATAATTACTTAACACAACAACAAAGCACAACATAACAAACATATAACAAAGAAACAAAGTTAATATAACATCAGACCAAGAGTGGATAAGATCGAGTAAATATGAATAAATATGAAAACTGATCACCTCGATCAGTCAATTTATAAAAACTGAATGAAATAGAAATTCACGTCAAATATATATATAGGTTAATAGACCTTATCAACTCTCATTCTCGTATTATCTAACAACAGCAGGATATTGGACACGCAAGACTGCGCGCCAAGTTACATTTTAGGCATATCGTTTTGAATGTTCGAGGATTTTCAGAGTCATAATTCACTGCTAAAGATTTATAATAGTATTTTAGCAAGACTGTTTTGAAATAACTATAACTGTCCAGATCAAAATCCAACTCATCCACGAGTGCGTTCCATATGCGGCATGATCTGATAAGAAATGACTGTTGGTAGGTTGTGGTCTTACATCTAGGATGAGTTCTTTTATGGTGGTAATTTTTTAGGTTCCATATTTTCAATATATATATATATATATATATATATATATATATTATATATATATATTATATATATATATAATAATATATATATTATAATATTATATATATATATATACATACTATGTACAATCATGGTATATAAGTTATAATTTCTATATAATTTTGATTATCAATGTACTGATTATCAATGTACAGGGACACCAGATAATAAGAAGGCAAGGGTGCAATTTGAATCTATGGGCATTCTCTCCTCCATTATAAAATGAATAGGGGTTGCAAATTGCTACTTTGCCTTCCCTCTGGTGCTGGTGCGCACACAGAGTTGTTTTTATAGACCTTTACCATCTTTTTGCAGATACAATAGACTTTTGCATGTGTAGGTGTACTGTGTACAAAATGGTTTTGTACATAATAGTTTGAAAACGTTTGAGCAAAAGCATTAAAACAGATGGCTACTAGCCCTTAAATTTCAACATTAATTTTTAGCTTGTAAACAGCAGACCTGTTTGATAGGTATACATTGTTCTAAGAAAATGGCTAGTTCTGTTATTTTAGTCCAAAAAGCAGCTAATTTTTTTTTATGTAATTAGGAGTGATGTGGAAAGTTAGATTATTCCAATAATTCAATCAACTCCTTTGGCAGCTTTTACAAATCAAATTTGTCGAATTTGAAACATCTTCATGGTTTTGACCTCTAGTTGAAATTTCAATCTTACTTACCTGATTCTTGGTTAACTGGCAGTCTTCAATAAATAGAGGTGCAACCTGTTCAAGGGCCTTATCTTTCATATCTACCCTAGACATAAATCTTACAGCCTTTTTTATCAGGGGTAGAGGGAGTTCATCATCTACTCCATACTCTATGGAAAACAAAACACAAGCTGATGGGAGAACTTCCTTTATACTTGAAATCAAGCTTGAAACATCTTCATTTGCAATGTTTCTGTGATGTACTCTACGAGGGTCAAAGGCTTTCCGTAAGGTCTGATCTAAAGCAGTATCTCGTTTTGTGACCTTCCTCAACCTTTTGTCCCTTCTAAAAGTGAGGTTTTTTATCTGCCCAGGTGTTACCTCTTTTCTTGTCCCCCTATTCCAGCCTTGTGGCATACTTGTGCATGCAGGAGCTATAAACTTTTTATGAAAAGCAAAGTTTACTTTATAAAGCATAGCTATTACATGATTGCAAACCTCCCCGGTGCCAGGTATACAAGTGCACCATGATGTTAAAACATTAGGCTCATTCTTACCTCGAACACAGATCCATGCTTTGTGTGGGTTATCTCTGACCCTCTGTGAGGGACATACATTGCCTTTTAAGAAAATCATGGTGGCATCTGTAGGACATTCTGCAACATACACTGTGTCCACAAACCCACTCATCCAATAAAAATACGCCTTTTCATCTTTGTATTTGCCGATATAATCAACATCTACTGCTTTAACTTTTAAAATATAACTAAATAACTTACCATCATCTAGCTGAGGCCAATCTTCTACACTGTCCTTCCAGGCATTATCCGGCAAACTGTTTGGGTCGGTTTTGATTTTGTGATATTGAAGCCTTTTCTCGTATTCCTTCTTAATGCTTGCGGATATTTGCTCTTGTGTAAACTTTTTGGGAGCGTTTAGTTCATATGCCCCAAATGCTCTAGCCACAAGTTCCGATTTCGCACCAGTTTGCTTTAGGCCACGAATGCCCAAAAAGTCTTTGAGCGTGGAGAGCGTCCAGCTCAGAAAATCCTCATATGAGAGACTTTCTTCAGGCTGTTTTGTTGCCATATCGCAATGATTATGTATACTCTTTCAACCGAAGTCAAGTAAGACAATGCTGAAAAAATTTAATATATAAAAGAGCTTTCCAGACGCAGTGAATACACGATGAGCAGACGCTATCAAGTGATATGTGACACCATTCGTAGTAGATTTCAAAAGCAATACAACAGTGATTGTCAACCGCACAGCTGGCACAGGTTATCAAGTTACACATTATCTCCATATGTGTTTTCCTGTTTTCTTGTTGTGCTGAAAATTTCTTCATTTTAGCGCTTACCACGACAAAAATCAAGTAAAGGGAGGTTGTCTGTGAAGATCCAATGGCGTAAACAGCGCGCAAAAACACCTTGACATGGCTCAGTAACACAGGCGGAGGTATGCAGTCTCCGAGTGCCCTCTAGTTTAAGTATGGAATTATGTGCTCCATACAAAAGTAAAGGAAGTGTATATATACCTTTAAAATAAATACATAACTATATACATATAAAATAAATACATAACTATTTACTATCAAGTTCAGGTAACTTTTCAAAGCACCGTTCCTAAATCAGGACTATGTTTGTTGTCAACTTGCAAATTACACCTCCATTTCTTTTCAAAAGCATCTAATAGTATGAACAGGTTAAATAAATTTCTCAATGCTTTGTCACAGATGAGTTTATATAGGATAATGAAGAATGTGTTTACTGTTTAATATTTACAGGCTAACACCCCCAATTTCTGATTGTGTACGACAGTTGAGTGGGTACTACAGGTGAAAAGGTAATCTGATATCGACAATAATAACAGGAAGTAATTGTGACCTACAATAATAAATTTAATGACAAGACTCTGCATAATAAAACCCAACTCAGTGCTCTTTTAAAGTTTACAAACATGTGCTTAAAGGACATTGGCAGCCAAAATTTTTATTCCTTATATCTATTAAACTTACCTATGGAATACTTAATTTTATAATTTGACGTGCCTATCGCATTAAGTTTTTGAGAGAATTTGTAAAAATGTTGAACAGTCGTCCGCCATTTTGAAAACAACACCATATGATAATTTATGCTCGCATACATTTGTGACGTCATTTGATGGGTTCGCGAGATATCTAATTATATCAATATATGGATTTCTATTGTATCTAGACGTTGTTACTTCAATATCTTGTTAAAATGGATGATACGGAGCGAATAGAATTGAATAATTGTGTAATAGCAATGCGTCACTCTTATGCGCAAAAAATATTGGCGATGTAAACGCTAAAATGCTTATAAATATGATGCCTGCCATGTACTGTATGTGGTCCTCACATCTGGACAATTATGACAACAGGCATTATATACCTTTCAAATATTTCTAACGACAGACGTGTTCTATTGCAGAAATACTGTGAACATGTGGTAAATGTGTAATATAATGTATAGAATTTGAATAGTGCAAAGTATTTCTCTAAAACAATATCAAAAACAGCTAGCGACAATGTACCGGGTCGGAATCGCAGAAGGGCGAAACTGTCGGCTAGGTAGAAATTGAACATCTTGCTTTTACTTGTGTGGCCGTAAGTGATGTCGGCAAGGGTAGTAATAATAGGAAATTGTTTTAGTGGATGGAAAGGTATATTACCGCGACACCTTTGACTTATGTGTCAATTCGTCCGGTTACGGCTTTGCCTTTGTAAAATAAAGTTGGTGTTTTTTCGGCGACGCACTAAGAAGCAAATAAGGATCAATAACTGTTGCCGCGTCGGTGCTGACAGATTCTACAATACATCATTGTGAGCGAAATAGATGTATAACAGGGCGATAAGCGAATTTGATGCTTCATTACTGCAAACTAAAGCAGATCGAAAACATGTCGTACTGTCTTGTTTACGGTTGTAATAGCGATGCAAAAAAGAATGCTGGTGGGGTACATTTCTTTGCTTTTCCAAACGGAAAATCGGTTGCGCAAAAGAATAGAAGAAAGGCGTGGATTGAATTCTGCAAGCGAAAAGCTTTTAAACCGTTATCAAATAGCAGAATTTGCTCACTCCATTTTGCTGAGGAAGCGTATGAACCTGGACATTCGCCACAGTTCTGGAACGTATAGGGTGTCAAGAAACGTTTCGAGTACGGTTAAAAACAGATGCCTTGCCAACTCTGAACAAACCACTGACAGATACAAGCAAAACTAAAACAAGGCCTCTTGCGCAAAAAAGACAACGAGAAAAGGTAATACAATACTCAATCGCCTAATTGCAATTGTCACATTCTAAATAATAAAAGCTAAGAATATTTACGCACAATTACAGGGAATATCTGATCTTCTACATGGCGAATCGTCGAAGGAAGAAAAGGAAAGTTCAGGAGACGCAGAACAGCAACCTGATGTAACTGAATATGAGGAAACCGAAAAACCAAGCGATGAAGCAAGTGATTTACCCAGCACGTCACAGACATTTGGCACGGAGGTGCTTCCCGCGACCGCTCAACTCTTCACCAAAGAAAAGTGGACACAAACGTCGCAAAAACAAGGGAAAAGAACAGTCAAGACCCAGACAATTATAAAGGCGACCTCCACTTTCTTCCAACCAACAGCCCTAGTTCCAGTCGCAACGCAGATGGATACGGACACAAGTGTACCAATATCAAGCACTGAGGAAACACCCTACAATATCACGAAAAACGTAATACCAGAGGCAGAGCAAGAAGCAACAACAGAATTTGAGGTGGAACGCAGCTCTAGCGATGATTCGCCATATGAACAAGTCGAAAAAGATATCGACTTTGATCCAGGCGAGGCATCATCTACAGACACCGAAGTCGAAGAGAGCAGCGATGACGACAATTTGGGTAATGTCGTTCTTACAGAGGGGAAACCGCCACAAGCCCAGATGAAATTTGTTGTCTACGAGGAAGCAATACTCGAACTGTGTGGCAAATGTATTCAGTGTGGTTCGAGATGTACTGTCACGGTTGAAAACAAAATTGGCTCATCATGTAAAATTTGCGTGTCGTGTACATTGGAAAGTGAGCATTACTTCGAGTGGACAACTGGTCCTTCATTGTTCAAAATGCCGGCATTTCATCTACTGTTGGCGTCTAGCATAATCGCGACAGGCATGGAGTCATCAAAGGTTCTTCGACTCTTTAAAGCGTTGAAGATTCCTAATGTGAAGCGAAGGGAAATGTCGTATATTCTAAAGAATTATGCGATCCCAGCTGTCTACGAGGTTTGGCAAGCTGAGCAATCCGCGAGGCTGCGAGAAATAGAAGAGCCCACTGTAATTGCGTCTGATATGCGCGTCGACAGTCCTGGACACACTGGCCTATTTGGATCGGGAAGTACGTTGGATATGAAACAAATCTGATCTTGGACACACAGATAATTAAGGTAATAAAAAATAAAAAGCAAAAATAACAAACATAGACAAAAAATTGCACCAATTTAAGGTGCGCGTATTTGAAACTAATAATGGTAATAATTCAGGCAATAGGAAAGTAACTTGCACATTAAAATAATCGTGTCTGGACGCATTATGCGGATATGCGTCTCTAGTGTAAAAACGGCCATATTCTCTGTATACATAACATTATTGTGTGATGTTTTATATTTTTTAACAGTCTACAGAGGTTAAAAATTCAAATGCCATGGAGCTTGAATCCTTGAAGAGGCAATTGAAATGCTTGGAGGACAACCAGGTTGAGGTGACTAAGTTGGTGACAGATCGTCATACTCAAGTTTCTGCATTCATGGCGAATGAGAAACCAGAAATAGAACATTCCTATGACGTCTGGCATGTAGCAAAAGGTATAGCAATATTTTAATGGCTGGATATTGTTTGAATGCAGGGACTCTATATGCACATTAACATTTTTAAGGTGAGAAAAAGAAGTTGACGAAGGTTGCCAAGAAGAAAAAATTCAAATCAATTAAACCATGGATCGGGGTAAGTTAAACAAATTTATTTCAAAAAGCATGGAAAACTGACAGAGTTGATTAACTTGAAATTTGATTTTTTCACAGTCAATCATCAATCATATCTATTGGGTTGGTGCCACTGGTCAATCAGAAGATGAAAGGGAAGAAAAATGGCTCAGCATTCTGAATCACATTGTGAACATTCACCTACATTCAAACCATAAGATCTTTAAAGAATGCCTTCACGACACACTTGAACGAGAATGGCTAAAGCAAGGTACAGTAAAATTTTATAAATTTTTCTCTTTGAAAACAATTGTTGTTATCATCAAGCATGCTGAGAAATTTGAATTGTCATTTTGAACTTTTGATATGATTGTATGCATTTCACTTTATCATGTCCAATTATATTGAGTTATATTTATTTATAAACCAATGTCCTGAAACCATAAAACAAACTAAAGTCCTTCAAACTCAACCTGAAAGTGCAGTATTTATTACTCAAAATCAAGGACATACAGATTAAAATATATGCACAACATTTCATGCAAGATGCATTTGATATATATTGCATCTGGTAATCTTGACAATTTATTAATGAACTTGACTCTTACTGGTTCAGCTGCATTCAAGAAGTTAGAGGAAATGCTAACAAAACCTCGACTCATCACAGCAATTCGAAAGTTGTCCCAGTACCACCAGACTTCTGGGTTGGAGGCAAAACATGCTTTGGACAACACCTTTGCATCAAAGAACACCTATCATTCATATCATCTAAGTGAAGGTAAGTTTTCAGTATTGATTGGTACCTGGTACCTGATTATATTAATAAGGTTAATTGCTTAAAGTTTAGGACCTTTTCATAATATGTTTACAGGTTGTACTGCTCAAACTTGCACTTTAATGAAAACAGCAACAGACAACAAGCAAAAACGGCTGAAGGAAAGCTCAGATGGGCAATTGCTTACCCAAAGGCTTTTAAAGGGGAAAAAGCTGTTGCAAAACCCTTAAAGGAAAAGCCCACCTATGGTAAGAACAAGCATTTATTACCCTTCACAAGCATTCATGTCCCCTACTACATGCATGTTTACAAACATATTTTTTTGACAAGTGTTAACCCAATATTAATCAACAATTCACCCTACTTTATTCTTTTTCTTCAATTTATGCAAGATTTTAGTAATAGTCTTGCAACTTAGTGAGTTAAAAAAATGTTGAACCCTTAGTTAAAAATCTAATTTTACAGGATACATACAGCTGATACTGGACCAAGTTATCCACTTGAGAAATAAGTATCAAACAATGAAAAAAGCAGTGGCTCATGCAAAGGAAATTCTCCCAGCTGAACCAGAATCTCTTGTGTCCAAGTACTTAGCAGGGAAAGAGCGGCCTTTAAAAGATGATGTTGTAGCCCAAAGAAAGTCCAGATTCAGTACACCAGCCCTACCTACAAGTGAACAACAAAGAATAGTGACCAAGCCATGCAACTGCAAAGGAATGTGCGCAACAAGAAAGTGCAACTGTAGGGGAATGGAAGTCCTGTGTGACGACAAATGTAATTGTAAGGAGGAAAAATGTAAAAATCGCGAATGACTGAGGCACACACTTTTTGTTACATGTATTACTTATTTAATTTCTGTTACCGGTATGACTTTCTGTCACGTTCTGTTAAACAATACAATAGATAAATGAGGAAATTTTTTTATATTAAAAAACAGGCTTTTAGCTTTTGAATGATAAATTCTTTGAACCATATGGTGAAAAAATGTGTTGCACCTAATCTTTGATGAGATTAGACAGGCATTGTTCATAACATTACATATTTACTTATGAGTTTTCAACGTAGTGAAAAAAGATATAATTACCGTTTCGACTTTTTAGCATATTTAAAATGCGTATAAATGCCATCAGACGAAGCAAAGCGTCCCCTAATGCTAGAATACACACAAGAAGGAAAAGGTCTTCGTTTCCCTTTACCCAAGATCTGGAAAATCCAGCGAGAACATCGGTGATATGCCACTAATCTATACAGTTTGTGCACTCTTTCCAAATCTCCATCACTTAGAGGCCAGTTTTCTTCCAGATATTGACAAACATCTATCTTCAGGACGCTTTCTAATAGCATATTGTCTATAAATTCTGGATGCGCTGTCAAACATTTTTCACCTTGTGCCTCTGCTTGATCCAGAAGCACTTCGTACTTGTCATACTCCAGCGCTTTCTCATGACAACAAAAGCACTCCACAGCTTTAGTTGATAATGCGCAATGCCCACATTTACACCAACTAAGATTTTGAAGGCGCCAGGCATTTGCTCTTTCAAATTCGTGCTCGACATTTTCCTCAGACGACGAAGCACTATCGCTACTTTCGTCGGCGTAATTTTCGTCGCTATTATCGCCAGTTAATGAAGCCGGTTCTGGCTCAAATTGGTAGGGCAACACCTCTCCTCGCTGGTTTTCGTGAATATACTCCATCACTAACGTAAAAGACTACAACTACCTTGTAAAACCACAACAAACATGAATAAACACTGTAAAAATATAGTGTTGTGTTATTGCAACCCATCAAATGACGTCACATCCGCCACTTTGAGAGCGGGATAATTTTTTGAAAAATCGATTCAAAATGGTCGACGAGTTTCACATTTCCGATTAATTTAGGTTCACATTACTCATAAACGAAAGACTTATTTCACAAATTATTGTCGTATCCTTTATCATATGATGTAAAACCTTTAAAATATACGATAAAAATTTTGACTGCCAATGTCCTTTAATTACCATTCTGCTTATCAAGTGTCTTTTTAAAATCATTTCTTATAAAAAATATTATTGTAGATTTAATACTTATAGTTATAGATTTAATAGTTATAGATTTAATTACTGACAGATTGTTTATTACATATGCTTATAGAAAAATGTCTAATTTGTAAAATATACATATGAAATAATTATATATACACTCTAAAAACAGTCTGGTTAAAATTTCCTGGTTAACAGGAAAATAACCCTATTTGGGGTTAATTAATATTCCTGGTTAAAATTCGTGGTTATTTTACTAAGATTTCAATGCACATTCACTAGAATTTCCGAATGACCACTTTCCTGGTTAAAATTTTAAAAAATTTTTCAAGCCTTCGAAAAAAAAAGAAACAAAATGGCATCTTTTTTCTGCCGATTTTGCCCCTTTCAGTTCGCTCGAATTGCTATTTTTAAAATCAGAAAAAGAGAAAAGACTATGAAGATTTGAGCAAAAAAAAAAGAAAAGGACAATGTTAGTCTTAGGTAAGGATATCTATTGGTTTTTTAATGTTTTTATTTAATTTATTAAGTGCGCAGAGTGGCGAATTTCAACTAAAATGTATTATTATTTAATGTATTCGTTTATATAATATTAGCAAATCAATATGAACTGTTTATATCTGTTTATATATTTAATGTTTATTGTTAATTTAGGAATTATAATAACCTTTCAACGGTTTCAAGTACTCAAGAAGACGGGCAGTATTTAATTACATCTTTATCATGCATGCAGAGTCAGTCGAAAAAAAACTTTGTAATTCATGATATTAGAAATAAAGTAAGCAAAGAATAATTTATGGATTTGTAACTTAGTATTTTTTAATACTTTCTGTGGAATTACCATTTGCATGTAAAATATTAACAGATGTTTGTGCAGTAATAATTATAATTATGCAGATTACCAGGTATATAATGAACTGTTTATAAAATTCATGAATTACCAAAACCTATTTGCATACAATAGCATTGCAGCCAAAACATTTTGAATATAGTACTAACACTAAGGTCTGTACTTCTATTAAGAAGGAACTTTGGTTTAATCTCTGAAACCCCCGAAATAAATAGGTTTATGTACATTCTTGAATAAGTTGGAAAAACATTACATTTTTATAGCAAAGCACTAGCCGGGTAGGAGGTAGGCATAATATTAGTTAGGGATACACTGATGTATTTAGTGGACTTTGGGGACACTGAGGACATGACATACTAAGTCATATTTTTTACATTGAGTTTGACCTATTCTAAGCCACCCTGCACCATGATCTAATTTCATCCAACCTACATTAACAAATGAGGGCATTGTTCCCCATAGCACCCTAATTTAGTATTTACTCTGTCTACAGATAATCTCATTTGTCAAGAAGAGAGGCCTGACTCTTAATGGGCTAACATATAAATTGCACCCTAGGTACTTTTAGTATTTACTCAGCCTAATGCCAGCCAAGTCCATACGTAACAAACAGTTTGTTTACTTTTTGGACTTCTTCACTTAATGGGTTGATTAGTATTTTATGTATCACAATTAAGGAAAGAAGATTATCTTGCCTACCTAAGCTAACACCAAATAGCACTTCAAGGACTAGAGTTATTATTTAGGGTGTTAAATGCTATCCCTGCTTTAGGCTTCGATTAATTGGCCAGCTACATGGCAAAAAGGAGTGTGTCACCAAATACAAGCTAATCAATCATCATTCTGCCTGTAACGTGAATGCCACCTAATACTTGTGAACTCCTATGTAATATTACCTGCAAATCTTAACCCGCTACATGATATTTTTCCAAGGAAATGTAACATGCAGCCAAATCACATTGCCCTAGAATTTCTCATAGGTAAGAAAATTTGCGAAATAAAGCCTAATCTTGAGATATTGTACTTTGTTCACAATTTTTTCAGAGTTCAACCCATTAACTGCCAGCTAGCACTCTCCCCTTAATGAGTCAAATAATCTGGTATTAATTAGACACAAAAATATTAAATAAAGTGCCCATCAAGGCACAATGCCTAGGTATGAACATTAATTAACCTAGTCTGTGGTACTGGCTGTGTACCAGTTATATTACTGTGCAATTATACTTCAGGGAATTTGATTATTGAGACAGAAGTTCTTCAGAAGTATCAAGTATTGTAAACCCTGACTTCAATAGTGGGTACTTTTTAATGGAATACTCTAGCCCAATACATACACAGGTGACAATCAATGACATAGCCAGGGTATAACCTTGGGAGGGGTAAAGTGCGGATGCCTAAGATGTATGTGGGGCTGACTAGGCCCTTAATTTCAATGCATTCTGGAGTGCGACATTAGAAATCCTCTAATGCAACACTATTTGCAAGCAGCAATGGTCTTGCAGAAATTCATTGATGACAATTACTAGGGCCTGCACTATATTTTTGTAAACAACTAGGCAAGAACAGGAATTACATTGAACTAAAGAACTCAACAAAATTTCTATTTATAATACCCATCTTCCATCACGATGATCTAGTAGCATCTAATTTATAATCCGTATTTCGTAATTCGACTAATCCTACTTCATAACTGACTCGCAGTGCTTGCATCGTATAAAAATATAAACTAAAGGACTTGGAGGCTAAATTTCGTACAAGTTCCAACTTCAAATTCATAGTTTATTCATTATCTATTTGTAGCTTACACTGAGTAGCGAAATGGTAATGTCCCGAGGGCAAATAAGCCGAGAGTGAGTTTCTCCGAGTATTTTTTCCCCACGCAAACAATTTAACCAATCAGCATTGAGTAAATGGTAGAACAGATATTTTAGCGCTCTTTTCTGTCCTTTGCCTTTCGCTCGCTGACAGTCGACGCTGTAGTATGCTATATATCTTCACTAGCAATGGATATTTTTGTTGAAAAGAAATTAGACGAATGGAATCTTTCGTTTCTAAAAGAAGTATTTGAAGGTATTATTTTGTAATTAATATTTTGCTTTTATATTTCATCTCTACATGCTTTATTTTCATTGACAATAACTTTGCTAGGCAGCTTTTCAAAAGGTTTTGACTTTTGAAAAGACAAATTTTGAGATGTTTTCTTTTCGAAAATCCTGTTATAAAACAACCTGAAACACGTTTCCTACACTATTTTATTTTAGGAGTAATAGTTTGTATATTTTTGTATTTTCAATGGCTTTTTTTTTTTCGATATTTCCCATCGCTGCCTGTCCGAGCGAGAAAATTTGTTTGCTAAACAGCATCGTACTCTGACAATGCCGTGACGTCACGCACTGACAGAAAATTTTAAGGTGGCTTTCTAGAGTTTAAGCATGGTCTGTACAGATCTATATGGTCTATATACGTGGGCTTTCTTCGGTTACCCCGGTTTCCTTCCCACAAGGATGGTTGACAGGATGAATTCGATAAACACAGTTAAGTTGCTATTATGATAAATAATAGAAAATAAAAAAATAGGTCAAAATAAGCTCTCAGCAATTAAAAAAAACACTTCCAGGCTTTCCAGCATGGCGTGACCTCACCAGACTTGTCTTCGGACAGAATTTTCGATCGAACAGAATTTTCCGCTCAATTTTCTCTTCCTGTTCCTGAGGAGTATTTTGCAGAAAGTGATCATCCTTTCGTGTGTTCCTTAATTAAGTCCGTTGATGCTTGATTTACAGCATTTTCAGTCACAAGTGACAATCCCATCTTAATGGAGCAACTTTAATTTCCTGTGAAAATATACCTTTTCATGAACTAAGTCGTATTCTTCTTTTTGCTTATATTTTGATTAAAGACAATATGACCAAGCCACGTCTCTACAGTGATTTTCTTTCTCGCAGTTAACATGATAGACGAAGAAGCCTTCAGACTACTTGATGAGGATTCTATAAAGGAAATGATACCTGCTGTTGGACCCAGAAAAAAGCTTCTAAAAAAGATTGAGGAAGAGAAGGTATAAACTACTTAAAATTGGCTCATGGGCTTCACGTGCTCAAGATGCAATGCGATTGTGCCTGGAAGTGCAAATAATCTGTTAAGGCATGTGAAAACTCAACATACTGTTCTCGTAGGACATAAATTTACTTGCCCAGTTGCTTGGGAACAGGATGGCTGTTCACAGACATTTCGCTACTCCGTTGCGTTTAAACGTCATATCGAGGCTCAGCACAAAAACCTTTATCTTAACGAACATAATAGAGAAAATGACAACAACAGCGATTATAACGATAATTTCGACAATATTCATAGAAATCCACCTACCCCAGAAATGCAGCCCCCCGCAGTTGACTGTGTCTTAAGTAAAGAAGAAGTAACGGGATTAGCAGCATCAACAATAGCTAATTTAAAGGCCTCGTGTAGTGTTGTTCAGTCAACAATTGATCATGTAGTACGTGAGAGTTCGGATTTGTTCTCACAAGTTATCACGTCTCTAAAAACTAAGACTGAGAATCTTTTGGCGAGCAGAGGTATACCAGAGAACGATTGCAAAAGACAAAATCTTCTTGAAATGTTCAGCCAGTTTCAACACCCTTTCGAGAATTTAGAAACAGCTTACCAACAAAACAAATATTTTAGAGAGAGCAATAATTTTGTGCAACCTTGTGAGGTGCCATTTGCAGCTGCTTATTATCAGCATAATAATCCAGACACTGGGCATGTAGATCAAGTAGGTAAGCATGTCACATTTCAATATGTTCCAATAAAGCAGTTGCTCAAA